TTTTTGTGAGCTGGAGTCTGAACCGCAGACAGCAAGGCGGGCTGCACAATGAAAGCAAAAGACATCCATCCCAAACAAAATAAAACTGCTTGAAAAGTGAAGTTGCTTTTTTAATCAGATGCTTTGAGGCTGAAAGACATTCCCTGTTGGAAAGAAAAGGGCGAGCGCAGAGCAGGCTGGCAGCTTTCCAGGCAGTGGACAATATTGACTCTAGAATAAAATGGGTTTTGCTTAGCGCTCGCCTCAGGGCACCAGCCTCCCTGCTTTGGAATAAATCATGTGGGCAGGCGATTCCCCAGCACAGGCTGACCCTTGGGAGCTGACCCCGTGTGCCACAGCACCCCCCCACCAGACAAACAGACACGGAGCTGGCAAGGGCTCCACTGCTGCTGCAAGACGGTGCACTCAGAGACAGTGCCTAATTCCCCTGCTCATTGCCACCTTGGGCTTCAGCCCATGGTGTATGGTGGGCACTGCACTGCCTCAGACCATTTCTGATGGGGTGCAGCTCAGGGCAGCTGCTCAGCTCTGCCTCTCCTGGAGGACAAAGGAAGCCACCAACAAATAGGTCAAAAAATGCACGTGTTATCTAGCTCTTTTGCCATGCGAAAATCAAGACAAAAAACTGAAGTTGTGTTCTCGAAACAAGAACTTCAATTCAATGCAAGCAGCAGAAAAGCCACTATTCTTGTTCCAAGGAGAAGCAAAAAATTAATTTTGAAACCACCAAAGTTGATGCCAATTGGTAGTGCCGTCTGGATGCCTTTGGTTAAGTACAGAACTGTATGGCTCCTCCAGCCCCTCAGAGGGCTGACAGGGGAACTCTGGAAGGGGCTACAGTGAAGCACACTGCCAGTCAGAAATACAGATTTGGGAAGGTTCTAGGATATAGTCAAAGCAAAGTACTTCAAAACTGTTCACACTGGATTTACAAGTGAAGGAAATCCAACCAACAGTGTCTTAACTTTAAATAAAATGCAGACAGAGAAAACTAATTCTGTGCAGTCCTTTAAAGCAGCAGCTATCACCAAGCCTGCTGTTTTCCCCCCATAGTTGCACTTCAGGCTACTCACCCTGCTTTTTAGCACTGAGCACCCTTTGCTTAAACRGCCTCTGAGTCTTTCCTGATGTTTCTGTTGCCAGGACTTGTCAAAGCCACCAGAACACCTCTCTCTGTTWCAAGTTTAACCTCTGCAAGCCATAGGCTTGAAAACCCCAGCCCAGAGACTCAGCTGTGAAAAATTGTCAGTAAAACAGTATCTGCCAGCAAACTATGGCTAGAGACAGCTCGGAGGCAGGACACACTGCTCTCAAAATGCCTTGCCAGTACACGTTTTGCAATTGTTGTTCAACCACAATGCACATGGGGCAAGGGTGCAGGAAGGGCAGCTCATGGTCAGCTCCCACCAAAATGGGATTTATTTTAGGTATATTTAATACAGCATTATTTCTCATTGCAATTGCTGCTGCACAGAAAGGAGAAAGCGTAGGGGAGTGGGAGTGAGAAGGGAAAGGCTGGTCTCAAAGCAGTTACAGGCAGCCTAGACTAGTGATGCAGTACACATTGCTGGATCAGTGGTTGTCCTAATGCTGTGGGGAAATTTGGCAGCTGTGCTACCACTGTGGGCTGTGGAGACAAAGCCAGTGTGGAAACTTCAAATAAAAAAAAAAGAAAAAGAAAAAGCAGAAAGAAAAAATAAAGGGCCAAATGCATTATAACAGACCCAAAGACAATAATCTTTTGTAATCCAAACAAGCTGGGCAAGCCAAGCCATTGTTGAGAATCTGAAAAGCTCTGGAGCAAAGCAGGAGGATAAAAATGAAGAAAAATAGTCATACGGCTTCTAATAAAAAACACAGACAGTATCCTAAATTGTAAAATAAAACAATTTGTTTTCCTGACGAAACATCAAAGCAAAGAGTGTTTTACATTCTCTCACTAAAGGATTCAGTAATTAAGTGTAAGAGTGCCTGTTTCTTCCTAACCTCACCTGCACCTTTCCACATGTATAGGCAAATGTCAATGCACAGTGAGGTCAGTGACCAAAAAACTATTCAGATGATTGATCATCTGCATTGTATGTGATAAAAGTTCAGCAGCATTTTAGTGTATCAAGCTCTGGCTGGCCAAAGCTCCATCTGACATTTTCTAGAAAAAGAATATGTATGCTAATTTATTCTCCATGACAGATAGTGTCCTTAGAAACAAATGCAAAACAGACATGTCCTCGGCCACTGTGTCCTGATGCATCAGTTGAATCCAGGAATTAGAAGGGGAAGAAAGTAGAAGCAAAATCCTTGAAGTGGAAAACAACCACAAAGAAAACTCTGACACCTCTGACACCTTTGAGGGCTCACCAAACTGGAAATCTAGTGTCTTGTCCACAATCTCAACCATAAAAATTGACCCAGACTTACAGATAAACAAATAATTGCTTCTCTGTCTAGGAGATCACTGCACACAATTCAGTGGATAACAAACACCTTGGGCAAAACCTTGCAAACAGAAGTGGATCCTTATTTAGAAGGGCTCTATTTTAGACAAACATATGGTGATAAAGCAATTTCCTCATCATTTTATTGACCTGAGGCAACCAAACAAACAAAGAGGTAACTGATGCACCAGTTGTGCAATATGGAGTAGCTAAAATATTCCAATTCTTTTATTAGGACAAAAATGTAGGCTCCATTTTTCACTTCCAGCCAGAAGTCAAAAGGAACAGCAGGCAGAGGTAGCCTCATCACAGTCTCCACATGCTCCTGCTTGGCACAGGCCACCTTTTTCTGGGACAATACTGTGATGAATTCAGACTTGAATTTTCAAGCCACAGTTCCAGCATTTATTCCAGAATAACTGCTTACAGCTAAGCATATTTGTACTGAACTGGTGACAATTTTTGCATTGACCACATTAGACTCTCTAACTGAATCAACATGTGTCGTACATGTCAGGAAATTCAGAAAAATCAACCAGAAAATAGCTATCTTCTCCTCCCTGCTATAAGCTAGAGCTAAGAGAGTTCACAAATCAGTACTGAAAAGTAACACATTGAATCAAATCTGCCAGTTTGACTTACCTAAGCTCTTCTACCTTACTCACTATTCTACATATAGAATTTCTGTTCCTTTTTCTAATGCCAAACAGTATTAACTATGTAATAACCATTTTGGATAAGGTAAAGTGCTATGCACAGATTCACAATTGAGGTAGAAACTAATATACAGAATTATCTCTTCGCTTAACTTTTAAACTTTCCAATGCTGTATGAATCTCAACATTCTACTGGTGATTTGGACTGGAAAAATTACTCCAGAAAGCAAAACTTCCACTGAGTTTTTTGACATTTCATTTGAAACCTCTAGTGTGCATAAAAAGTTATTTTTTCCTCTTCATGCTTTATTTTATATTTAGCAGTACCAAATTTGATCACTGTGATGCCCATTTGTGTTAATAACTTAATTCTTTGCATCACCTCATGGTCAGTCATGTTTAATAGAAAAAAGAGTTGGGGTGTCACCTGCCAATGCTGCAACTTCCACTCTAACATCATTTCCTTTCTAGACCACAAACCAAACTGGGGAAGCACAAAACAACTCCCATGAACGTGAAGAAACCCTCTTTTCCTTCCAACCATGATGACAGAAATTTATTCTTGCCCTCATCTCAGGAAGTTTCGGGCTTATAATACTTCTGTAGCTCTCTCCCACATGTTTTTTCTCCCAATAAGCATGTCACATCTTGAAAAAGAGCTTTTGGAAGTGTACATGAAACCATTCTTTACTGATGCCTCCAGAGACATCTGGAAGTTTAACAAAAAAACCCTCCTTTTGCAGAAATTGAGAGAGTGTCTCATGATCTTCCAAATGTTTTGCTGTCTAAGTCCTCAGTTGATCCAATGTTCTCATTCTGTTCCTATTCTTTTGCTCATGCCTGTAGCCTTTTTAAAATGTGAAGTCATCATTTTCAGGGTGAAACTGCATATTCTACTAGCAGCTGTTCAAGATGACAGACAATGATGTTTATTCTCAGATTTACATGTTCTGCACAAACACTTCAGATTATATTAAACTTAGATCATTATTCTGCCATTAAAACATCATTATATTTATGGTCTATAAAGCATGGAACAAATAAAAAGTTACGTAGAGCTGCAGTTGTATATGAGCATCCAGGCTTTCAAACTTAAAATAGGCTTTGTTTTTTAACCCACTCTGCTCTTTCTCTTCCTGAAAGGACATTTACTATGGCTACTAAAACACAAATGTCATGTAAATGAAGACCATTTTCATATATTGGTCTTTTGCCTTTATAGGTCACGCACAGAACTCACAACAGCAAAGATTAGGGCTTCTCCAAGTGAGTGGGAGTCACTAAGAAGGAGCCTCTTGAACCCACAAAAAACAAGGAAGACATTTAGCCAGAAACAAAAAAACTCCAATCATTTCTTTCTGTCTTCATTTCTTTAAATCCATGCTGTTGATTCAAACCTTTTCATTTTAAGCCAGTTATGATTTTGGTTCAGATAGGTCCATCTCGAAAACAATTCCTCAGGGGATACCCAAATCAAGGGTCATCTGCACTGGGAGTAGGGGAGGCAAATCTTCCCTTCCGCAAGCTTTCCTCAGCATGTGAAGGCATGATGACCCAGTGTCTTGGTTTAAAAGACAAATGTTTGATCCACTGATGCAGAATTTATAAAAAGCTACTTTGAAGACAGGAAAATTGTCTAGCTTTCAGAAAGATCCCCAGGCACACCTTCCCCTGTATATGCTTCCTCTGCTTTGAGTGCTCACACATTAAAATGAAACAAGGCCCTGGCTCTGGAAGGAGATAAACTTATTTAAAACACTATCTTCTTAAAGAAAGACACATCTGAAAGAAGGAAATGTCTTTTMTTTTAGCATGCAGGGATACACCTCCATGTTTGATGCAGTTTACACTAACCAAAAACAGGTACAAAACAGGCATTGGTTGGGGAGAAGGCTGATCCCATTCTTACCAGCCAGTCATGTTGAAGTCACGGTAGAGCATCCTCTTTCCAACTTCCTTGCGTTGCACCCTCCGTGGAAACTCTAAATGTGTGAATTCATTTCCCAGCAAGTGGGGCTGCATGTAAGCCTGCAGGCAGAAATCAAACCACAGATACCACATAAAACAAGTCATCATCTATTGATAATGAGATAATATTACCTTCGCTTCCTGGTCCCTTCCCACACAAATTCCACCCCCTCCTCTACCCTTCTTTTTAAATAAGGAAGATGATGTGCTCCATTTCAGCAAGCAATGGACACACACCAGTTCTGACCCTGCCTGATATCCAGCAGTAGCCTTATAAGTAACAGTCCTCCTGCTCTCAAAATCCTTAATTTCTTCTCCATGCTTCTCAAGATTTGTGATCTATAAACTACACTTCATCCAGTGACCCTGAAGGAGTCTGCAAAGCTTTGTACAACAGAAAACATCCCCTTTTGTAAGTCAGCAACCTGAGAGAAAGGAATGATTAAATAGACTTGGAGGGGTGAGTGTGCAGTGAAGCTCAAGCTTTTTGACTCCCAGTTCAGCTATGCCAACAACTCATGCAACATTGCTACCACACTTTGTTACTGCCTCAAGAAAAACACACCCCATCACACATGACACTTGCAAACAAACACAAGCTGCAGAGCAATTTATTTTCTTGTTTTCAAAAAATTATTTCCTTCAAGCAGAATAGACTTTTAGAAAAGCAGCAGCAGTTTTGTGCCACAATTGCAACAAATGTCTTTGATGGTTTTAACACTCAAGTGCTGCTCATGTTCTTTCTGGTGCACTGCTCTGCAGATGCTGGGAGGCCTCTTTGTCAGAGTCATGCCTGTGGCTCATGTTCTCCAAGGACGACCATAGTTGAGAGCATCGCAAGATTCTTTGTCCACTGTGTAAATTTTTGGATTGAATTTATACACAGATCACTTGACATGATAGGTTAATCCTAAACATACTCTAYTTCTTCTTTCTGAAATAAATCTCACTCCTTTTTCTTTAGTACTTGAATAAACAAGCCTTTCTTCTTCCGCAAAGCTGCATTCTAAGTGAACTCTTAAGAAAGATACAGTCAAACTGGCTAGGGAACTGAAAAAAGTTGCATTTCTTAACCTTTTTGCAGATAACTCTTTTTCCTTATCCAGACAGTTAAGGCAATAAAATCTGCCTTATCTTCAGCAGCAGCTGCCATCAAGGGAGAAGAAATGAGCTGGGGTTTAGTTTGTGTATGTCATAAATCTAGTGCTCATCAAAGGTAAGAAGAAGGAAGCAGTGGAAGCCCTTATTGATCTACCTGGCATGTGTCATGCAGATAGTTCACAATAAAATATTTCCTGCATTTAAGAGTTGAGCCTGCTCCCACTCAATTTAATAGGAGCTCTATCAGGCTCAGCACATGACAAAGCTAACTTTCCATCAGCTTGTCCCTTTTCCCATCACCAGACATCCTTCCAGAAAACACCTGAAGCTTGGCTGAAACAGGACTGAGGAAGGTTACTGTCTGCAGCCAACAAGACTGGATTCTGCTTTCAAGTGGTGGCTTTCAAGCAAGTGTCATCTTGACATTGTGATCCCTTCCTGGAACAGAAACTCCATCAAATTCTCTCTGTGTACAGTTAAGGGAATTACATTTTTTTTCCTGCAGTCTACTGTCAGTCAAGGTCCCCTTCTCCACCCAAATATTGCTTTCAAGGACCCTCTAGTTGGATCCCTCTTCTCAATACAGTAGTGGTTGAGAAGCACTACTTTTGAGAGGCCCAGCACTATTAGTCAACATGAGGCTTTTCATACTTCCAGAACTCTGGAACTTCTTCATCTAAAAGTACATGCAAGCTTTTTATTTTATTTATTTTCATTCTAGCTGCAGAAAAGGTAAAATTCCTAATGATTTGATGCATTGCAACATATGAACAATATTTGTTCTTTGTATAACAGCAAAGAGCTGGACTTTTTTTGTTTTATTAGCCCTTTCTTGTCTATGATGCTGTAAACAATGAAGTCTGCTTTGAAAGTGCAATTAAATTCACTTTTATAAATGCACAGCCTATCTTCATTAAAACATTACAAACCACTACTAGCTCAAGACTACTGTTGCCTGCCTACAAAACAAGGTTATATTTAAAGAAAAAAACCCTCACACCTTTTATCAAAATGAAGTTATCTAAACTTCAGATTGTGAGATTATTTACCAGTCTGAATCAGAGGTCTGTAAGAAAAAAAGTTACAGGCTTTTAGCATTTTTTCACTTAAAAAAAAAGAATTTTCTTCATTGAAAAGGTAAAGCAACGAGGAGAGACTGCACTGCATAAAGATTTACTCAGATGGAAAGTCTGAGGTCACAACTGAAATAAGATTAATAAAGCTGGCACAGTTACCAGTGGACTGCTAATGTTCAAATAAGATTCCTCTTCTGCAGCCAAGCCTCAATGCTTGATTTACAACCCAGGGATCTTAACTTGATTCTAATATTTTTGGCGTCAGTGAAACAGAAGGAAAAAACCAATTTGGAAGCTTCTGGTGTCTGTGATCTGAAATCTTATGTGAAAAAATAATTTTTGTTGTGCTTTGCTTTGTTTTGTTGTGCTTTACTTTATTTTTTAATTTTCCATATTTTTCACCTTTTAAAAACAGTTATTTTTGATGCTTCACTGTTRGCTCTATAGAGAGAAGAATATTCTGCTATAAAACTCAGCTGCAACTGCCAGTTGGGTTTGTTGAGAACTGTTCTCCATTTACAAGGCAGGATTCTTCTCTTCCACCTCAACAAAACCATGCTGGGCACCAAAACCAGAAAATAAATAAAAAACAACCCTTTAAATATCTACAGATCTTTCTAATAGATACACAAGTAGACACCATGAAATCCCCTCAAGTTATCAAACGAGAAACAAAAATGGTAAGTGAACTGACTACCAGAATTTCACCTGTGATGATGCAATGTATTTTCCATTTTTTAATTTGTTTAGTCTTGATTTGCAAGAACCTCAGATCAGAAACACCACTCAGAGAACCTGATATTTAAAACGTGTGACTATCAAACACTTTCTATATTCTTACAAGGTATGCTCCGACAACACTGTTATTCTGTGTTACAGAACTGGAACATTTTTCGTATTTTCTCTTTCAGAACCTATTACAACTTTTTGGAATAAATCTGGCATAGTTTGCCATTGTATGTTTTTGGTACTCTGCCATTTTATGGTGTATTTTGTGGCTGGATATATTACATTCAAATTTAATTGTTTAAAATGGAGTTCGCTCAAGGAAATATTAGTCATGGTTCTCTAAAAAGGCCATTTACTTCCTGCTGTGTTTCCTGGTGATTAGAAAAGCAAACATTAAGATAAATCTAGACTTACACACCAGTTAATTAGGTGGCAGGAAACACTGCATGTATCTTATCTGTACCTCAGTAAAGCCTGCCAATGCCTTTTCCAGCTCCTTCAGCAGGCACTGCACTGGAACGTTGCTGGCACTAGTGGTTTCACTGCATTCTGTGTTACTTTCAGAATTGCTGTTTTCCCCAACACAACTGTATCTTACAATTTTGTACTCTTATTATATTGTGCCCTTTTCTCTGATATAATTTTCTACTATATGGGACTACTGCTCACAACAGCATGCACAGTCCAATGCACCCACAGGTTCTGCAAATGACCCAGCCATTATCATAAGGACACAATTAAATCGAAGAGAGATAAAAACTAAAGAATGTGGTGGTAAAAGGAAGGAGGAGAGTAGAAGCCAATCCATCCCTTGATTGGTCTCTCATCTAGTGAAAGGCAGGACACCTTCTATAGAATTTCACATCTGTTTTACCACAAGATTATGCACTGTGTCAGGCAGCTGAAGCAATCGTATGCTGGGTGATGCAGGGAGCCATAAACTGTAAGAGAATTMTGTCTTGACTGACTTGTAATTGAAGTGCTGACTGGACATTTAGGAGACCTAAGTGCATTTCCTCTTCAGACTCAGGTTCCACAGGCATCCTTCCATAGGCAAGTTACTAGCATTTTTATCCTTACCTGAGCAACAAAATACGAATAGACCCCCTTTGAGCCCATGACCATCTGGGCTCATGAACCTTTGTTTGAATGGTGGCAAACACAAAGAGCACCCATGGTCATTGTCACTGGTGGCCACCCAGTCTCTACTAGCAGTGACAGCTGCATTGGTAGCAGTGGTGTATCATTTTTGGTGAACTTTTGAGGGGCTTCCTAGCTGCTACAAACACCACACTGACCTCACTAATAGAAATATACCTATCTGCAGTATACTCAATTCACCATTCATTTTAAATGTGTTTTCCAAGGGAATAAGTAACAAAATCTATCCCATTTGCTGCTGCAATTTAGATTCTCATGACTGCAATTAATAGTCTTCTCAGAAAATGAAAGAAAAATTGCTTCTGGCAGTCACTGCCTGTACAACTGCTGAATGTACCAGAGCARTTCTCAGTCAATACTGGATTTTGTTTTCCTTCAAGAGACACTGATACGGGAAGCCAGGGCTTTTCCCAAGGGCTGTGTGGAGCTCTCCTGCAGAGAGACAGAAATTCAAAAGAAAAGGAGGCTTTTGAATGCCCACCGGTGGAAGGAAAGCAGCATGGTGCCCTGAATCTCCACAAAAACCGAAAGACCAAGGGAATACTTGTGCAAAGCTTTCACATTTTACATCTTAAGAAGTGCTCTCTGGCTGAAGGACTGATTGTCTTCAGCAATGTTGTCACAAGCTGACTGACACAGAAGTTGGTCTCTGCCATACAGACTGCCTGAAGTCTGCAGCTGTATGCTGCCCTGGCACTGGTCTCCTATGGAGTGATGACCATGCCCAGAGCTGCTTCAAAGCTGCTGCTTGGAATGACTGGATAGTCAACTTGTTCTTTTCAGGTTTCCATGTCAGAGGCCAACTGCCAAGGCCATTCTTGGATGCATGGCAATAAACGTGCCAGGACAGGGCAAATATGTGCTTCCCTATCCTCTCAGTTACTCAACCAGTACTAGCTGAACCACAGTTTTGTCTGAGACTAGACTGGAGGACTTCACATAGATCTTCTCACATGCCCTGAACAACTCATTACCCCATGGATTTCTTTCCACATGGAAATTAAGGCTTAGAAAAGAGGACCTAAAAGAACATCCTTGTGTGTTGAAGCAATCAATAGGCACTAAAGGCAGAGGAAAGCTTCTTCACTCTCACTATATTGACAGTGTCTGCTGCGCATGGAAGGGGCTGCAGGCTGTAAACACATACCCTCTGTTTGAGCAGTAACTTCTGCATAGTAAACAGTATGTCTGCATTTACCAATTAAAATATTAATGCTAAAATGATTAAATGATTTGTCCTATTGCACAGGAAGAGCATTGCAACATGTCTRAAACAAAGAAAATCAGCTTTAGCTGCAAATAAGAAAATACACTCAGAGTAAATAAATTTCAGACAGGAACAGTAGATGAGAGATGTTAATGGCTGAATAGACAGATAGCAGAACCTGGGGATAGAGAAACTGAGTAAAAGGAGTTACTTGGGATCTAATCAGCAAGACAGATGCAAACTTTGAAGTGTAATGCTTATACCAACCTTGCAAGAAATTTGAGGGGTTTTTTTTTTTCTTTTTTAACACTAGAGTAAAAATGTTACTTAGGGAACGTTATGTTTGAAATGATCTGTAATTTTGTTTCACACTCTGCTGTCTTGCATGTATTCTCTTTGAACATGATATCCATAGATCTGGTCTATTTGTAGCATATAGAATTAAAATAGATAAACAAAGATAATGGAATTTTCCACAGGAAACAGCAGAAATGCTTTTCAGATCAGCTACTGGCTTCAAATATAAGCTGGAAAGGACATCAAAAGAGAAAAAAAACCCTTGTAGGCAATGCTTTATATCATAGTTCCTACAGAAGTAGCAGACTCCCTTGATGCTAAAGATACCTTTTATTTTAAAGGCAAACAAATTATTTTAAATGCAACTGAACTGTAAATATTTATTAGGCCTCTTTTACATTTGGTTCTCTGAATATTAATAGTCCAAAAGCAGTATTTCCTCTGAAATTTTCCACTTCAAGCCAGTGAACCTGACTGAAAAAAAAAATCAGATGTCACAATTGAGAAAACACAATTTTTTCTTTAAAACCTTCCACCACCATCACTGCCTTTCAAACACTGGTGTTTTGTCTAGTTTCAAACCACTGTGCTTGGGCCAAGTTGCAGATAAAAGACACCTTAAGACCTGGGACAGCACTAGCCTTGGCCTGTCTGCCTTGAGTCAGGCAAGGTTGACAATAAGTCTGCCTTGGCTGAAGCCCAAATTTCAAAAAAGAAAAAAGCAGGAGCCCAGAAGAAGCACAAAGGAAATCTCCCARCCATGTTAGGAATGGTATTTTGACAAACAGCTAACTGACTTCAACTAACTGATCTGTCCATCGGTGATAACCTTAAAAAATAACAGGATTGTTTGTATGAAAAATAACACCATACATTTTGACTTATATTACTTGGGCAGCTTATCAGCCAACACAGCTTGGTCTATAAAGCATCCCACATGTCCCCAGTTAGTCACCCTGTCCCAGCTTTATGTGTGCTGCTACACTGAATAAAACTAGTCTTTGATCACCCATCCAATCCTGCAACTACTAATGTTCACTGAGATCACCCCTAAGCTGGATACCTATCCCCTGACTGAGATACTACCAGCATACCATTAATCAAACTCCGCAACATCATTCACACACACACACAAAGAGCAGTCTGTGGTATTTTATATTGTCACACAGCAAACACTAGGATGGATTGAAATACATCTGTGGCTCATTAGCTCTATGTCTGAGCTCTCAATAGCCAACAACCGTGAGCTGCTGAAGGGCCTGCAGCTGAACAAGGTACACAAGCACAGCCATGCTAGTCGATGGCCTTTGCCAAAGAGGTAATACTCTGTTCATAGAGATTTGCACCAGCAGGCTTTTCTCCACATTTACGGATGGCTTAAAGACATACAAAATCASTCACTGCTGTTCAGTGGACACATCATCCTTCACTGAGCCACAGTAACTCAGTGGCATTTCTCTGAGAATTAATTATTACTGGGCAATGCTTGTCATCAGCAGTACCTGATTTCATCCTCAGGTCTCTTACCAGATACTGAAGTCGCTGGCGTTCAGTCTCTGGAGTGAATTCTGAAGACATTGGAATGACTTCACCATTTCGGATTATTATAGCCCTGGAAAAGCAATAAAACACCATTAACACAGAAAAAAACCTAAAAAAGCTGCAGGAAACCACAGGGTACAGTCACACTCTTATTCCCTTCAGAATCATAATCAAATAAAGCCATTTCTTTTCAGCAGAACAGGGTAATTCCTGCTCTGCATTCCTTTAGGCTGGGTAACAAAGTATACTTGTATAATCCAAGTTCATTTCAGAGCTCACAAAATCATCCAAGCAAAAAAGGCAAGAGTTATTTCAATTCATGTCTACAGGTATCCTTATTAAGTGAAATGCAGACACCCAGAGGAGATGCTGCAGAATCACTGATTGTAGATCAACTCTTTGCAGGTTTTAATACCAGCTGTGGCTGACACTGTCTAAACCACTGGCTTCAAATGACTCATGCAAGCACTTTCCAATTATTGATTGGTCATATGTCATGTCAGAACATTTCTACTCCAACAGCAAATAGAAACAGCAAAGCAAATCCTATTTAACACAGATTTAACTAGCTATCTGCTGAAAGATGGCAGGTAATGGAATGACCGTAGAATAGCCAGGAGATTACACACACACTTCTGCAAATGGCAGAGAGGAAATTTTCTCAAACACCTGCCTGCTGCCTCTTAACAATCTGCTATGCTGCACACAAAATATGGTCCAATCCTTCCCTGGTGTAACACCACTGGCTGGAACACAAGTCACAAGAGGGAAGAATTTACCCAATATTCCTACTGTATTCTACATTCATGCATTCACTCCCAGAACTATGTTACTTTATCTTTCCATTCCTTAGGCAGCTCTGTAAGTAGAGCAATGCTTAGCACTTTTACAAGCTTGACAAACTATGCATCATCCAAAAGACTTCAACGCCTTTTGGAGAGATGTTGTTTCTGAGCAACATCCTGAGATGATGTTTCTCCACCATCAGTAGATTAAGTCTGTGTTTGGATAGCAGCAGTGTACCAACTCTGCTCTTGAATTTAGACAGAACTTGGTACAGCTAAAAAAAGTATTTGCCACTTGGATTCCAGTTTCTCTGTTTTAAATGGTCCAATTTCTGTGATCTTTTCACCCCAGTGATGTGCTATTTATGAGCTAGCTTACTTCCCCTGACAATTTCATCGATTTGCTGTCATTGTTTCCATGCCAGGTGTTCTGATGGCACTGCAAGGCAACCAACAAATATAGTAGGCACACAAAAACTGAAAGCTTAAACCGCTAAATTCAAAACACAGGCATCTTGAGAAAACCAACTCAAGTACAAACCTGAATTTGTAAAATTAGTGGCATTAGACAGATTTCCAGGTCTTGTGGATAGGTCACTGGACTAAAATTGTCTCCAAATTGCCATCTACTATTGCTAGTATGCAAAAGGCAGGACCATTATCAATGAGGAAATACAGAATCTCACATTTCTGAGATTCCTGTGGCAAAGAGCAGATAGGTTCAGGATAGTACTACAATAGGAGATGTGGAAAGAAGCTCTGGTGATAAGGGGAAAACAGCTTTACTTTGAAGGGTAACAAATTTACTGCTCTTGGACTTCCAGCATTTCCTTGAAAATAATGCTGTGTGGAAATTAAAGGAAGCAAGAGTACAGCCTACATACTGGAGGTTCCCACTGGCCCTTAACTAAACCCAATATTGTGTACTCGACATGAGACAGACATGGTAGTTGCAACTCTTTAATTTCTGAAAGCAATTTTGTGCATAATTTTTGACAGATTTTTTTCTCCTTTAGGGAACCTGACTACATTACAGGCTTACAAAAATGCCAATCCAATTAAAAATAATAAAGTTTGCTGAAATTTTTTTTTCATTTCTCGAGACAGTCATTTAAATATGAATTAAGAACTCTACCAACTCTCTTYTGCAACAACACCTTTGCTTTTGTATTTGCAGCTCCTTAGGTGTTCAGCTTTGAACCAGATTTACTCAGACAAGTTTTATGAAACTTTTTTATATGTTATTTGATTCACTTGAGTAGGCCTTCATTTAAAGGGGTCTGCGGCTTTAGTATAGAGCATGTACTCTGGCAACAGTCTAGACTAGACTGATCAAAGGAGCTGATCAGACACTAAGCAAATTTTACACACTTGTTTAGGTGAGTCATAAGGGATTTTCTGATCTTTTGATTGTCTGAAAGAGCTCATATAACTGCTAGCATGTCAGGCTAATTTTCTAATTATTCTCTGCTTCCCCTTTAATCACCATTTCACAGGAAATCTATGTTTTAAAGACTACTCAGACCAGTCTGGGGTTTACCTTTTTCTTTACGTACATTGACATACTTCCTATATATGTTGATAGCTGTCATTCAAACTTCTATGGGTAGAATTGGGCCCTAAGGGACTAACATCATATAAAAAGCAATTCAGAGGCGAGTGGGTCAAGCTTTCATGGCTCAACTTATTTTCACCAGAATTGGCAGCCACCTGGGTTGAAAAGCACAACCCAGTACACACACACACATACAATCTTTGGAGGGGGAGSAATTAAAGCAATACTGTTGATACCTGGAAAAACAGAGTTTTATGTTTTTCATAAATGTTTTCAGCAGTTGGAGTTTATTCAACTTGCAAGTTATAGCTTCTCATAAGAGTCAAATGATTTGATCTGAGGAATGAGACAACTCTAGATATGAGTAACGGGAGGAACACAGACATACACGTACAGGGCGCTTGTCCAAATTCAACTGTGGCAAGCTTGTAAATCCATACTTGCCTCTTTACCTTTTTGCACTAACTGCTTAGCTGTTTCATGACAGTAAAGGGTATTGTTGATGGCTGGCCCACGTAACACAAATGGACACATTTGTTGGCTGTCTCACTGTGGAGGCTGGGTGCAAAAGCCTGGCCTGGGAGCCACTCTGCTCTGTGGGCTTTTCCCCTGTGACTGAAGAGGTGCCAAATAAGGCCCTAATTGGGTTTGGAGRCTGAACTGCCCTTTCCGTGACCTTGCAGTGACAGAGCTGCCAAGCAGTGACTGAAGGCTTTTCCCACCAAGCAACCTCCAGAGCCCTGAATTCAATAGCCCAGAGTCAATAACTGCTCGCAAGGAGGGAGCCTGGCTGATGCAGCAGCTGCAAACAGCTCCAGCAACTGCTTTTAGAGACCCACTCTATACGGTCCTACAGGACAATTAATTTTGACTTTACACTTCCTAATGGACTAAACAGCTACATGGTGGTACATGAGCATTACTGCTTCTGCCATGCATGAAACATATATGCATGCAAGGAAATAGTGCTCTGAAAGCATTAACTCCTCATGTATCGAGGATATATGAATGTATTGTTTTGTGCCAGAATACAGCTGTCCTATTAAACTGTCAGAAATAACTATATAGGAGGCAAGAAGTCCTCGAATAGATGCAGTGCCCAGAGAGCATATGATTCTGCCATTTTAATTCTGCCATTCTGTTTAATAGTGACATTTTAATTTCAACCCCACTGGTGAAACACACTACAGCAGAGCCACAGGGTAAGCATGCCAAAGGCAGATAGATGATTCATGTTTGCAGAGAACAAGTATGTCAACACTAACCAAATACTCTGTGATGACAAGGTTGCTTCAGACCCATACCAATCATTAATTTATATCACCAATGAAGCAGTAATCAAAAAAAACAAAAGCTTTTTTCTGGCAGAAATCAGGAGTCGCAGATCTGCAGCCTCCTCAGTGCATTGCCCTCCATGCTCTGATGCCCTCTCCAAACAGCATTGTCCACAGCAAGAAACTGCTCTGAAGCCTTGAGGCCACAGAGGCCAGTAAGTAACTTATTCTGATGTCTTCTAAAAACAACCCATAGATTTACCTGAGCCCTTTCCTCTCTTTTGAACCCTATCTAACTCTCCATCCATAGGAACTACAGGATTGTACTTGCCATTGCCTTTACAGAATCATAGAATCACTAGGGCTGGAAGAGAGCTTCAAGATCTTTGAGTCCAACCCATGCCCTAACACCTCAACTAAACCATGGCACCAAGCACCACGTCCAATCTGTTTTTAAACGCTTCCAGAGATGGTGACTCCACCACCTCCCCGGGCAGACCATCCCAGTGCTTTATCATGCTTTCCATAAAAGACTTTTTCCTAATACCTAACCCATATTTCACATGCTCTGTATGACAATGAAAGTATGTTCACTAATCCAGAGCTGGGATACTCACAGTAAACAGGAATATATTGAGGAAAAAAAATCCCCAAAACACAGCCGAAGTAGCCTAAAATGGAAGAAACCAGAATCTGATTTTGTGTGTCTCTTCTGGCCTCCCGAGTTCTTCAGATCCAGAAAAGCCACACCCTGAATAACTAAATATGGAACAARAGATGTGCCAGTGGCTCAGTGCACAAGGCAGGACTGACAGTCATGGCAAATCCTACAGCCAGCTATGTCTGCTCAGTCACGTGCAAATGAAAAGAAATATCAGGAGCTTAAAAAGCTGCATGTGCATCTACAGAAATCAGTGCATTTATCTCTTGGATTGACATGAATGTATAGGCCATAATGATCAGCTAAATTCACACAGAACGTTAAGTATATGGTTATTTTCTATATTCAGATTCAATACTCAGAAATTGTATTTAGTGCCTTAGTATACACTCCCTTTTAAAATACATGGAGAGTGAAGCAACAAAAGGGTAAAAATCTGCTACTGTGCTGTACTGCTGCTGTGATGCTCGGGATATAGCGACAACACTGGTCTAAGGAAAATATTGATGTATCAATTGCTTTTGCATTTTTAATATGGATAGCAACTGCCACCTCTCCTTGAATCAAGCATGGTTTTGTGTGTGTTGTTTTTTTTTTTTCTTTTCTTTTGTGGAAAACACAATCAACTGAAAATTGCACAGCATCCTTTCTAAGTTACTTATGAGAAACAAATAGGGAGAAACTCATACATTTTAGAGGAAGCTCTTGCAGGTTACTCTCATTTAATCACACAGAGAAAGAAACACTTTAGTGAACAAGGTCAAAAGTGTAATTCCACTGCTGTCATGGGTCTAT